CCCCCCCCCCATCCCCCTTTACACCTGTGATGTGAGAGTAAAGTAGGGTCAGGTACTCATTAGCCTGGGCTGATGTTCTCACTGGAAGTCTATCATGTTTCACATCAAAGCCAAGCTCTACCTGCAGGCACTCTAGCTATGTGACGGCTAGCACAGGATACCTAGACACTAGTAGCTTGTCAGCCCATTTACTAGCAGAAAAATCTGTAATTTACCTCCTTTCTGAATCATAAGAACTTTGGTAATTCACTGGTTAAAATGGTACAGCAAAATAAAAGGAGGTGATTACAAGAATGCATTGTATACCTCATTTCTGAATCTCAAGAATTCTAGTTACATGAAAGGTGAAACAGGACAGTCATACAGACGTGGGCTAGTACTGACTACTTTATACTGACTACTTTATACTGACTACTTTATACTGACTACTTTATACTGACTCACAACAAAACTCTTGCAGTTTGCGGGATAAAACTGTGTAAGGAAAAAGAAACATGGCCATTACAGGTATATATTGAAGAAGTCGATATTTCTATAATAAATACTTGTAACTACCCAAGAACAGAGACATGCAAAAGTTCTATCTAACATCTAAAATCAACTAATTTAGATTCTAAGTCACACATTAAGTTTGTCTTAAACCTTTTCCCCAATTTTCATGCTCATTATTCAATTGATGGTACCATAGCTTCTTTGATCCATAAATAACAAATACCTGGCACAAGCTTCAACAAAAAGCGTTAGTCAGGAAATGAGTCTTAAATTTTAAACCAAAAATGTACTTGATATCAAGATAGATCCATGGTGGACAACTTGAGTAAACTAATACACCGTTCACACTACAGTTGCCAAAATGCGCATTTCAATAATTCGGATTTTTCGTAAGGAATCCGATTCGGTATTGCGTTCACACTCGCTAAGCGAATCCAAATCCCATGTTGAGAATTTCAGGTTTAACTTCCTGTTTTGAACACTCGCGCATGCGCCACACAGGAAATCTTAAAATATCAACAAAAATTTGTGACAACAAATGCAACTCAAAAGACATTCCAGCATTCTTGAGAAGTATAAGGTGGCAAAATAAGTTTGTTTCCTCATGTTGTAGTGAGTGGTGACCTCCAAATACGTTTGGTGCAATCGCTA